TTTATAGGTTTCTAGAAAATACCCTTTCAATTCTACTTACTAAAATTTTGAGTTTTAAGAAATGTTTTTTAGTTTTTCATGTGCTAAAGTGATAAATTATGTATAACATTTTTCAATGTTGAACCAATCTTGTATTCCTGATACAAACCCATCTTTTTAAAAAAAATATATTTCATTGATTTTTTTACAAAGAGGAAGGGAGAGAGATAGCTAGAAACATCGAGGAGAGAGAAACATCAGTCAGCTGCCTCCTGCACACCCCACACTGGGGATGTGCTCACAATCAGAGTATGTGCCCTTGGCCAGAAACGAATCCAGGACCCTTCAGTCCACAGGCTGATGCATTATTCACTGAGCCAAACCAGTTTTGGCCAAACCCATCTTTACATCTTTTTTTGTTCACTGTTAGTTGCTATTCAGAAATATTATCTTTATGTTTTTTACATCTGTATGTATTACTAAGGTTGTTCTTCAATTTTCCCTTCACATACTCTTGTCATATTTTGGATTTAAGATTGCCTTAGTCTCATAAAATTTGTCTGTGAATATTCCTCTTTTTCTTCCTTAGAAGAATTTGTGTAAATCATTGTCTTTTCAAAGTTTGGTAGAACTTTTTTCATCTTGACCTGTGATATGTGTGTGTGTGTGTGTGTACATAATTGAAATTGATAATTCAGTTTGTTTTGTCTAAGATTCTGTTTTTTATTTCTCCTATAGTCATGGAGCTATGGTATTTTTTTCTAAGAACTTATACTTTTTATGTAAATTTTCAATTTATTAGATAAAGTTGTCTATTATTTTCTAAAGTTGGTAGCATATGTATTTATGGCTTATTTTTCCTTCCAAAAATGGAGAGATAGATCTTTACAGGGAGTTATCAATTTATATTTTTTCTTTCTCTTTTTTAATTTAACTTTATTGATGAAAATATGACAGATCTCCATTTCCCACCATTGACTCCCTCCCCAGGACTTCACTACACTATTAGTTGTGTCCATGTGTTATGCATATCCTATAATAAAAGCCTAATGGGTTAAGTGCCAAGATGGCATGGTCTCCATGTCTGAGCCTGTTGTTCTGGGAGCAGTAGGGGCTTCCCAGTCAGGGGAGCCCCGTCCAGCAGTCCCCCACAGTCTTCTGGGGTATAGCTGTCCCTCAACTCACCAACAAACACTCACCGTGGGACCACACACTCTCCCTTTGTTTTCTCACTCACACACTATCTTACAGTCTACTTTCCATCGGCAGCCATCTTCTAGCCTCCCAGCCTCTGTTGTTAATTGACCACATAGGCATTGGTTTCTTTTGGGCTCTATTGTGTTTCATTGATTTTTGTGACTATTTTTATACCAATTCCATTTGTTCTGATTACTAACACCTTGTAGTATAGCTTGAAGTCAAGTAGCATGATACTGCTAACTTTGTTCTTTCCCAAGATTGCTATGGCTATTCAGGGTCTTTTTTGGTTTTGTATGCATTTTAAGATTATTTGTTCTAGGTATGTGAAAAATTCCATTGGTATTTTTATAGGGATTACATTGAGTACTCATAGGAGTACTCAATGAAATCATGCCTTTTTTTTTTTAATCCATGAGCATAGTATATCTTTTTAGTTACTTGTATCTTAATTTCTTATGGTTTTTCAATTATAGGTTTTTTTACTTCCTTGTTTAAGTTGTATTCCTAAGTATTTTATTTATTTTGATGTAATTATAAATGGAATTGTTTTCTTAATTTCCTTTTCTGTATATTTAATTAATTGTATACAAAAATGCAACTGATTTCTGATATTAATTTTGTATCTTGCTACTTTGCTGAATTTATTAGTTCTAAAATCTTTTTTGTGTCTGGAAACAAATGATAACAGCTTTTCGTCTGTCCAATTTGGATAACTTTTACTTTTTTTCTTGACTGATTTCTGTGGCTAGACCTTGCAATACTATGTTTAATAAATATGGTGAAAGTGGAGATCTTGTCTTGTTCCTAATCTTAATGAAAAAGCTTTCAGCTTGTTAACATTGAATGTGATGTTAGCTGTGTGTTTTTCATATGTTGTCTTTATATTGACATAATCCCACTTTATTGAGTTTTTATTCTATATTTCTTCTTGAGTTGAGATTTACCTGCTGATTTTTTTAAAAAATTCTACACAATCCTTCCTAATTTTCTATATAACCTATTTTTATTTTTTTTAAAATCAATCTTTATTGTTCATATTATTACAAAGGTTCCTCATTTCTTCCCCCCTCCACCTGGTTCCAACCCCACCCTCCACCCCTCCCCATCCCCCATTGTCCTCATCCATAGGTGCACAGTTTATGTTCAGGCTCTTCTTCCCTCCCTTTCCCCCATAGTAAATCCCTTTTCAGAGAGTAAATCAGTTACTTAGCATTTTCTCATATCAATAATACCTCCACATGCCCAATGTTACACTTCACACAAAAGACATTTCCCAATAGGTCAACTAGCCTCATCCAGGCCACACCCAAAGCACTCACAGATCAACACCCCAGCCCTATACTAACTCAACACATCCAGATCTAAGCCTTCATCACTTGATTCAGCAGATCCTCAAGCTCCTGCGAAAGTTTCCAGCCATGTCTGAAAGGCAGCCATGGGACAGGGGCAGGCGAGGAGCGAGCTGTTCCGGGCCTGGCTGCTCAGGGCCTGGCCTCTGTTGCTCTGGTTCGTTCCACAACCAGCTCCTAGGGGTCTGGTCACTGCCGCTCCCGACCCAGTTACTCTGGACTTGGCTGCAGCTGATCCGGGCCTGGCCGCTCCCAGCCTGGTAGCCGCTGCTCCGGGCCTGGCCTCTCCCGACCCGGCTGCTCCCCCAGGCCTGGCCGCTCCCAGCCTGGCAGCCGCTGCTCCGGGCCTGGCCGCTCCAGACCCAGCTGCTCCAGGCCTGGCCGCTCCCAGCCTAACAGCGCTGCTCCGGGCCTGGCCGGACCCAACCCGGCTGCTCCGGGCCTGGCCACTCGCAGCCCGGCAGCCGCTGCTCCGGGCCTGGCCGCACCCGACCCGGCTGCTTCGGGCCTGGCTGCTCCCAGCCTGGCAGCCGCTGCTCCGGGCCTGGCCGTACCCGACCCGGCTGCTCTGGGCCTGGCCGCTCGCAGCCCGGCAGCTGCTGCTCCGGGCCTGGCCGCACCCGACCTGGCTGCTTCGGGCCTGGCCGCTCCCAGCCTGGCAGCCACTGCTCCAGGCCTGGCTGCACCCGACCTGGCTGCTTTGGGCCTAGCCGCTCCCAGCCTGGCAGCCGCTGCTCCGGGCCTGACCGTACCCGACCCGGCTGCTCTGGGCCCGGCTGCCCCGGGCCCGGCCGCTCTGAGCCTGGCCACTCCTGGCCTGGATGCTCTGTGCTTGGCTACTTTTTTTCTGGGTCTGGCTGCTCCCACCCCGGCTGCTCGGGGCCCAGCTTCTCCAGGCCCAGCCACTCCGGGTCTGGGTGTTTCTGGACTGGCCACCCTGGGCTTGGCCACCTCTGCCTCAGGCCTGGCTGCCACTTCCCCAGGTCTGGCTGCTCCAGTCCTGGCTGCTGCTGCTCTGGGGCCTGGCCGTTGCTGCTCCGGGCCTGGCTGCCACTGCCTTGTGCCTGGCCACTCTAGGCCTGGCCGCCACTGTTCCAACATTCTGTCCTTTTTTTTTTTTTTTTTTTTTTAAACGCATTTATGTTGCAATGTTGACTGGTGAGTTGAGTTCTGACTTAGTCTTTGATTTTTCAAGAACTTCTTTGTATTCTTTCTTAAGTAATTTTACTATCTTTTGCTCTCACTTGATTTCTTCACATTGAGAACTTCTTTGGTTTCTTCCTCCTTGTCCTGGGAGCTCAGCAGGTTGGCCTGTGGCACCCCTTTGTTCTCCGCGGGCCCCTGCGCTGCTTCAGCCTGTTGCCGGGGATGGCACCACCCAGGAAGCAGCCCCGGCCTTGGCTCCATTGCCCGCGCTCAGCGGTCGAAGGCTCAGGGGCACCCCCCCCCAGAGGCCCCGTCGCCCGGCTCCTTGCTGGTTCCCGGTTGGCCGGCGTCTGGCAGGGGCTCCAGCTCCCCGCGGTGTTCCCCCAGCCCAGAGCTTTTTTTTTCTCCTTCCCGCTAGGGGAGTCCAGCATCAGAGTCAACAGACTGTCCTCTGTGCACAGTGTGCGCGAGTCCGGGGGCCCGGCCTTTCAGCGCTCTCCCCAGACTCCACCTCACAGCCCCGTCTCCCTCTGCCTGAGCCTGGATCCCCAGGGATTGGCCCAGAACTGGGGTTCAGAGCAGTCCGGACTGAGGCTCAGCACCGCTGGAGGCCTTGTTTCTTCCGGCTAGGGTAACCCAGCATCAGAGTCAACATTCAGTCCTGTGCGCGCGCATTGCGCGCGACTCTGGGGGCCCTGCTTTTCGCCGCTCTTCTGGGATTCCGCCTCACAGCCCCGTCTCCCCCTGCCGGAGCTTGGGTCCCCAGGGTCTGGCCCATAACTGGGGCTCAGTGCTGCTGGTTCGGGGGGCTCAGCACTGCCGGTTTGGGGGTTCAGCTCAGGCTGGGGATTTTATTTCCTTCCTGCTAGGGAACGCCAGGCAGCACCCAGTCCTCTCCTCCTCTCCGGCTGTGACCTCTCCGCGCGCGTGCGGGCGGACGCACAGCATGTCTTCGTACCTTAGGCTTTTTTTCAGCTCCTCTGATTTTCCTTCTGGTTTTCTCTTTCCTTCTTGTTGTAGAATTTTCAGTCAGTCGACTACCTGTAGCTCTGGGCAATGTCCACTCTACATTTTAGTTGTATTCCATTGAAATTGTTGTGTGCTGCCGCGGTTAGATGTCTACCCGAGCAGCCATCTTGGATCTCCTCCTAAAATATTCTATATAACCTATTTTTAGTTTTTACTTTTCCACACTTTAGAGCCATGAAAGCCAGTGTTCTGGTTGATTTTATTTACTATTAAACTCACATAGTTCACTTTATGTACTTTCCTAGAATTACCTCCTGGTACATAATGAGGAAACATGTTTTTCTTATTATTTTTCAGGTTGGGAATCTGTGTGTGAAAGTGAAGAGTTAAACCAAAAGCAGGACATTTGTGAAGCACAGTCATCCCTGAAGATAATAGCAAAATTTAAAAGCTGTGGTCTTGAGTACTCCAATTTGAGAGAAGAATGGAAGTGTGAGGGCCATTCTGAGAGGCAACTAGTGAGTCAGAAGTCATATTTCAAAGAAGAGACCATTACTAATGAAGGAGCCTTTGTTTATGAGAGAGGACAAGAATATAATAAATCTTGGCAAAGTTTCCATCAGAACATACTGCTTCATACACAACAGATAACTTCAAAAGAGGAGAAAGTACATAAATATGACCCACATAAGAAAAGCTTTAAATATAACTTAATGGTTATTAAACCCAAGAATATCTATACACAGAAGAAACTTTTGAAATGTAATGACTGCGAAAAAGTTTTCAGCCAAAGCTCATCCCTTATTCTTCATCAAAGAATTCATACTGGAGAGAAACCCTATAAGTGTGTACATTGTGGGAAGGCCTTTAGCCAGAGATCAAATCTTGTTCAACATCAAAGAATTCATACTGGAGAGAAACCCTATGAATGTAAGGAATGCAGGAAAGCATTCAGTCAGAATGCACACCTTGTTCAACATCTGAGAATTCATACTGGAGAAAAACCTTATGAATGTAAGGTGTGTGGAAAAGCCTTTAGCCAGTTTTCCTATCTTGCTCAACATCAGAGAGTTCATACTGGAGAGAAACCCTATGAATGTATTGAATGTGGGAAAGCATTTAGTAATAGATCATCCATTGCTCAACACCAGAGGGTTCATACTGGTGAGAAACCTTATGAATGTAATGTGTGTGCGAAAGCATTTAGCCTTCGTGCATACCTTACTGTACATCAGAGGATACATACTGGAGAGAGACCCTATGAATGTAATGAATGTGGAAAGGCATTCAGTCAGAATTCACACCTTGCTCAACATCAGAGAATTCATACTGGAGAAAAACCTTATAAATGTCAGGAATGTAGGAAAGCATTCAGCCAGATTGCCTACCTTGCTCAACATCAAAGAGTTCATACTGGAGAGAAACCCTATGAGTGTATTAAATGTGGGAAGGCTTTTAGCAATGATTCATCCCTTACCCAACATCAGAGAGTTCATACTGGAGAGAAACCTTATGAATGTAATGTTTGTGGAAAGGCTTTTAGTTACTGTGGATCCCTTGCTCAACATCAGAGAATTCATACTGGAGAGAGACCCTATGAATGTACAGAATGCAAGAAAACTTTTAGGCAGCATGCACATCTTGCTCATCATCAGAGAATCCATCTTGGTTTGTCAATTACCACCTAATTCTGTCAATCACCAAGTCCTATAGATCTCTTATAAATATTTCAGGAATTTATACATTTTTCTCTATTTTTAATCTTACCCTCATCCATTTCACCTGGATCACTGCTGCAGCTTTTCTAACAGGCTTTCCTGTATCAATTTTGGTTGCCTTAAATTTATTTCTCACCATGCACCCAAAATTATATTTTTAATACATACATTACTGTCTCTAGTTAAAATTTTTTGGCTTATTATTCTTAAGCTAACATCTGTAGTGTTTAAAATTGTCAATGAGGTACTTTATTATCTAGTTCTTATATACCTCTCAGCCTTATTTTATTTTACTTTTCCTCTCTTGGCACTAAGCACTTCTCAGGATGAAAAGCGTAGCATCTAGAAAATTATAGTTCTACCACTACTGTGGGATTGTGTGGCTTTGAGTAATTTGCTTGACTTACCTAAACCTCAAGGGTTTTTTTTGTTTTGTTTTGTTTTTTATAATTTTAAAATAAGGATAATAAGGGGTACTGTGTTTTAGAAATGTATTAAAGAATGTATGTTGTAAATTGATACATACTAAGTAAGAATTTTGCATTTAAAGTACTTCATACATTAAATATAGCCCATATTCAATAAATGATAGCTAATATTTATACATCAAGCATTGTTCTACATAGTTAACATATATTAACTCACCCCTCATATCTGAAACAAGTAGAACATCCTTAGGAAGCAACAGGTCAGAATTGGGAAACCTAAAAATTTTAGAACATAAGTGAAGTTTTCATACTCTACATGAAAAATCAATATATACACACACAAGTAGTAAGTATATAACACATAACCAGTTTTAGGAAGTTTCCAGAGAGAATGAATTGGATAAATTTAATTAAAATAAAATAAGGATTTACTGAGTATACAGAACTTACATTTAGGTAAAGAAAAGAATAGAGGATCACAACTCCAAGTAATAACAAAACAAAATCCATAAACCTAAAAATTCATACTGTCCCATAAAAAGGCACCAGGCCCAGGTAGTTGTATGGTTGAATCTAGTTAATTACAAAGCTTTAAACTTTGATGCTGTAGTAAACAAGCATAATATTTAGAAGTATTTTTATCCAGTGATTATAAAATCAAATTTAAAAGAGGACTTAGAGACAAAAACCGTGTGTGTGTGTGTGTGTGTGTGTGTGTGTGTGTGTGTGTATTTCACTCATTCAGTGATTACTGAGTAGCTACTATTTGCTAGGTACTTTCACTATTATAGGCATGAGGAGACAAAGAAGATCAAAACAAAGACCATTGTTGCATAGAGTAAAATCCCAGAGTCTGGAAGTGTTAGTACTTAAATATATATAAGCATAAATTTCCACACTCAGAAGATGAAAGAATAATGATTGAGAAGTATTATATAGTCTAGACTGAAGATAACAAAAGTTACCAGTTTTGCCTACTTCACAAATTCACTACATCTTGAACTGAAATTTATGAATAGGCCTTTTTTCCATGTATTTTCACAACTTTATTCTGAAATTCATCTATTTTGTATTAATTATTCAAAAATGGGAAGAAAATTCTTGAGTTTGATCTGTTTGGGATCTATATATATATAAAGAGCCAGGATATGTAAAGACCAAAGGCTCGACCTAATACAGCAAGTCAGTGCTGGGTTACTGTGGCAATCCAACAATGACTACAGCCGGTGCGGCGAAGTGAACCAGCACTGACTGCAAAAGGGGCTGCAGATTAGGCCTGGAGAGAGAAAGAGGCAGGGTCTTATCTGCAGCCTCAGTGGCAGCTGTTGATCAGCCACTGCCTCTTTCTCTCCAGGCTTCACCAGCAGCTGCACCTCTGTTTCTCTCTGGGCCTCCACAGGGTTGCTGATCAGCCCTGCCTCTTTGATCAGGCCCAGAGATAGGCCCAGTGACACTGACTGGCATAGAAACCGGCCAATCAGATCCAAATCTGGGTCAACTGTGAGGAGCCAATGGCTGCTTAGGAGGTGGAGATTTTTACACAACTGGCATAGAAACCAACCAATCATAATCTAATCTGGATGAATTACAAAGGCGGAATCTAAAGTGAGGGCTGAGGAAGTGTTTTAAAATCAATAGCAGTTTGGTGTAAGGTGTAAGAAAGCAGTTCAATTTTTTTTTTTAATATATATATATTTTTTTATTGATTTTGTACAGATAGGAAGGGAGAGAGATAGAGAGTTAGAAACATCGATGAGAGAGAGTCATCGATCAGCTGCCTCTTGCACACCCCCTACTGGGGATATGCCCGCAACCAAAATACATGCCCCTGACCAGAATCGAACCCGGGACCCTTCAGTCCCCAAGCCGACGCTCTATCCATTGAGCCAAACCGGTTTCGGCAGCAGTTCAATTTTTTAATGACCACTTTGGCAGTATAGTGCATATGACTGGCTAACAGTCCAGATAAAGGAATTATATGCTTTTGTCTGCCAAGAGCATCTCCTGCTGAAAAAGATTTCTCCCCCATTTAACCAATCCTATCCTATATAATCTGTTTATACTAATAAAAAGGTAATAGACCTGGTCAACCAGCCATCTTCTGGATGTCCAAATTCCTTCCAGACAAAGCCATAGTAGTGGGATCTGAGGCAGGGGCAATTAGGGATGATCAGGCCAGCAGTGGAGAGCAGTTGGTGAGATGAGGGCAGTTAGGGGTGATCAGGCAGGCAAAGGCAGCTAGGGGCAATCAGGCAGAATGGTTAGGGTTGATCTGACAAGCAGGTAGAGTAGTTAGGGGCAATCAGGCAGAGGCAGTTAGGGGTGATCAGACAGGCAGGCAGGTGAGTGGTTAGAAGCCAGCAGTCCCAGATTGCAGTCAGACATCCGCCAAGGGGTCCTCAATTTGAGAGGGTACAGACTGGGCTGAGGGAACTCCCTCTCCCCATGCACAAGTTTCATGCACTGAGCCACTAGTAGTAGTATGATTGACTATATACATCATTAGTGGTAAGGGGAAAGTAAACAAAACCACAATGAACTATTTCAAGATCACATTAACAAAAGCATTACATTCCTAATGATTAAAAATATGTACAACATTGGAATGTGAGTACAGTTGTTTTTGGAAGTAATTTTGTTTAGAATAATTAGGCAATATCTAATAAAGTTGAGGATGTTGATATACTGACCCAGCAAATCCACTTAAACCTCTACAGCAAACTTGTCAAACTCAAAAGCTAACATGGACCAAATAAACAAGGTTTTAGTTTATGTGGGCCATAAAAAAACAAAAGCTTCACTTTTCATAGAAACATAGATTTATTTCAATAGAGACATGCTGAATACAAAGGCTGAAATGAGTTATAGTTAACATAAAATAATAGAATATTTTAATCAAAATATTTTATTAATATTTTGTTAATATTTCATTTAATATTTTTTCTTGAACATTAACTTACCAGACACCTAATAACTGTACAAGTTAATACATGTAATGCAAATAAACATATTTTTCTTGTTCTCTGAAAGCAAAATATTTCCAGTTGCACACACCAAACAAGTCAGTACAACACTAATGGCATGACAATCGGCTGCTAAAATATTCACTGCTAGTATCAGTGGAGAGAAATGGTGCGCCTGCATATAAGGTGAGTAAGGACAATGAATGCAACACGATTATAGTAATCAGACATTAGCAAACTTTTTAGTTCATTATTTAGAATAATGTATAGCAGGATATTGTAAAATTTACAAAATTTTTACTAAAATGTTACATACCAAAATTTTTACTAAAAGGTTACATACCATAATATTGGCTGGGCCACAAAAATACTTGTGTGGTCCACATGCAGCCTGCAGGCCAGAAGTTTGACATGCTTGTCCTACAGAATCTGTCCTCAGGTGTTCAAGGAAATGTACTTGAAAAATCCATTTCAGCATTGTTTGTGAGAATGGAAGTTGAAAGTAACAAAATAATCCAAGTTAAAGGGAATGAACTTATACTTCTATCAACATGGACAAATCTCAAAAACAATGAAATTGAATCGGAGCATTTTGTATAGTATGGTACCACTTATTTATGTAATGTGCAAATCAACACTATTTTTTCCAGTGCTAAATACTATATATAAATAGTGTAATAGCATTTATGGAAATTATCATCAAATTCAAAACAGTGGTGACCTCTGGAGAGGGTAAATAATTATATTGAGGAAAGGATGGAAATAATAATTTCTTCAAAATATAAGCAAGTATGACTAATTATAATTGGATAAAGCTGGTCATGGGTTTATAGATAGGTTTTTATTCTATTTTTTGTTCATTTTAAACTATTTCATAATAAAAATGTTTAAATTATGTTTGCTTTCTTTTTCAATTATTTACTTGCTAAACCTCAGGTTTGCAGGTGGTGTTCCCATTGATATTCACCTTTTTAGAAAGAAACTCACATATAATTGACTTCCATCTGCATTCACTGTTAACAATTTGTTGACTATCTTATAATTTTGAGAGTGACTATTATTTCACACTGAGAATTTCATAGCCTACTTATTACATGATTTCTCCATCATTCTCCCCTCTCCCAACTTTCTTGAAGTATGAATGACAAAATTGGAATATTTAAGGTATACAACATGATGTTTTCATTTATACATTGTAAAATATTTACTGCAATCAGTCTATCACTTTATAGTGTGTGTGTGTGTAGTGAGAACACTGGAAAGCTACTCCTTTTACAAATGTCAAGTATACAATATATTATGTACATTATGTTTTCACAATTTACTCATTTTGTATCTGAAAGTATGTACTCTTTGATCGATATCTCCCCTTTATCAACTCTTAACCTGTTGGAAAATACCATTCTCTGTTCTTTACTGAGTTCAATTTTCTTTTCTTTCTTTTTAAAGAGTAAATGTAAATAAGTGGTATTTGTCTTTGTCTCACTTATTTCACTTAGCATAATATCCCTCAGGTTCATCCATGTTGTTGAAAATGACAGGATTTCCTCTTTTTTTAGGCTGAATAATATTCCATTGT